CTCGCTCTATGGAAGTAACTGTGAAGTGCTTGAATGAAGAGCAATAAACTGACTGCTTTTTGCTGGCGTCCCGATCCAAGTCTGGGTCTCCTCTTGGGGTGCGTGCCCAGAGTTGATCGTTCAGTTGCTGTCAAGCTTCCAAACCCACTATGTTTATTACTTGTTAAAATACATTAAGGAGAAAAAACCCCACTATTGATTTAGAATACAGTATCATAAAAAGAAAATGTTTCTGTGGGTCAGCTGTTTCTCAGGCAAATGTCCCAATTAAAAAATAGAAGTGCTCAAAAGTCAAGTCAGTAGAGTGATTGCAGTGAGTTACAGTCACAAGCAGAGTTTGATTTTTGCAGTAAGCAATGTGAGGGAGCTGTATTTTAATAAATTTGAGGTGCCTTTCTAAAATATTTGCCTTTTTTTTCCTGAAATTCCATTAAAGCCACCATTTTATTCAGCTGCAACTTCATTTAATCACCGATATGGCAAGGGAAGTGTGTTTTACGATCTGCAGAAAATTTCCTATATATTTTTAATGGTTTCATTCTGTACCAGAATGCAAAGCTGGATACATGAAGTTTTCTATGGAGCAAATTATTTAGAAACATTCACTTTTTTAATAACTAAATCAGACCAATTTTTAAATGGGTGCTAGTATCTAGCTTCCCAGCTGACTCCCTGTCCGGCCAGACAGACTGCTGGAGGCTTAAGCGGTTGGGCCTGCCAGTTGCTGGCTCCCTGCTAGGAAAAGCCACCCACATGGTTTCCACCAGGAAGTTTCAATAAAATTCACGCGATCCTGAAGAATACTGAAACTGCATGAAATCAATATTTCCTGTTGGCAAATTTTTTTTTCAGAGCATTTTTAGCCATTCCTACCAATCATATAATGATTTAAATCCTGTGACAGTCCTCTGGTAGGTCTAGGACAACTTGCCTGAAGAGCAACTCCTTGCCTTTCTCTGTAGTCTTTACTGGGAGCCTAAATCCTGCCAGCAGGCAGAGCCCAGTTCCCCAGGCAGGTGAAGTCAGCCCCCGCCAATCACAAAAGCTTTTATTGTAATAACTATTAAACACCATTTAATCAAATAGTCTAATAATCACTTACGCTTTGCTTTTCCACCCAAAAGCTCAGCATGCTTCATGCAGTAAGCAAGCATCATTATTTCTTTTCACATATGGCCTTAAGCCATGTAGTACTGCAGTGAGTTTTATTACCACCTTGCCAGAGTCCCCACGTAGTGCTTCACCTACCAGGCTGCATGAAGGCAGGGAAAGGCAATCATGACAGACATACCTGGGGAAGTAAATCCAGCAGCCACTCCGCTCAGCGGCAGAAGTCTTTCAGTCAAATCCCAAGAATGGGTTAGCTGGGTCCTCTGCTAGTGAGGCAATTCCATGACTTTGTGCCCTCTGCAGCAGGATTGATTGGAAAACTCCTAATGGATAAACAGAATCAAAACAGAAGTAATTTTTATATCAAATTACTAGTGACAAATCATATTTGAAAAACTTTTACTTAAGTTTTTATTAAAATTGATGTTTAAAAATTTCTTTGAAATTGCAGCATTGTGAAAATTTATAAAGGCTTGGAATGTAAAAATACCCAGTTCATGTTAAGTGAGTTTTGTTTCTTACATATAAAAAATAAGTAATAAAAATGAAAAGGAAAGGCAAATACATTTAAACTTAGTTCTATTTTAATAAATCTAAGGTTGTTACTGTAGTAATAGTGTTGCTGAAGTGAAGACAGTTTTATCTTGAATGCGTCCCTCGGATTTATAACATTAAACCTTCTGTTCTACTGTATTTACTACCCACCAAATTTGATTTTATATGTAGCAGCTGAACAGCGAAGCTCTGATATTTTTGTATTCAATTAAAGTAAGGAATTAGGAACACAAGCGTGCTTTTCACAGTCTTAAGTTAGAGTAATAACAAGACTTTTTATGTTCTCCTCTTCTACTAAAATTATAATGGGGGACTATTGTGCTCTACACTGACTAGCAAGTACTTTGTGCAAATCATTTTGCTCTTAGGATCATAACAACATTTGAAGTCATTTATTGATTCAATCCTGCCAGCAAAAGGGACTTCTACAGTGCAGAAGCTATCACCTGCCTGCACTCATGCCCCGACCAGGTGATGAACGGCAGGAGTATCACAGGGAGAAGCTCCCTTTGCAGTTGCTGATCCTGCAGCATCATCCACACCAGCGATTCTCAGTGAAATCAGGAAAACTATTCAGGTGCTTAAAGTAAAGGCTGTGTTTTGTTGGTGACCATATTTTTTTGCTCTAACTGTCACTCAGATATTACATTAAGTTAAATGGCAGGTAGGTGACAATATTTTACACCTAGGCAAACTGAAATCGGTTGTTTTTATGGAGAAATCCTATGGCATTTCCATAGCTTTCCACTTCCAAATCAGATTTTAGTAGAGAAGATTCTCTCTGCTGTAGGATAAGCCAAAACCCAGGAGCATTTGTTCTGGCAACAGGACTCTCTGTCACTTTATCCACGTGACTTCATCCCTAAGCCATCTCCAAGGAGATGGTGGCAGGGAGAAGCTCTGAAGTCCCCTTTCTGGATCCTGAGCACCTTTCCAGGGAGGCCAGAAGGAGTCTGAACAGACCATTGGATGAAACCGGAAGAATTTCTCCTGAAGGGACGGTCATCTTTGTCATCTCTTAGTCCCATTCTCATATTCCACTGGTAGCCCAAATCCTCCTTTGATATGAAATGCAGGAGCATTGCTGACCTCAGGAGGTGATGGTGATTAACAGCGGATGAGTATCTGGTGCTTTAAGTAGACACTGAGACTTGCGGGACTGGTAATGGCAGACGGTTTTTGCTGTTGCTGGACCATGTTTTATAGCAACTCATGAAATCCCATAAGCGATTCCAGCACTGTGTAGCTGATGACATTTAAGAACATTTCTCCCAGTAATTTTTTTAAATGACTAGCAACTCCATTATTTGAATAACCAAAATACTTTCTAATGGCTACTTGAGGAGCCTTTAATTCATACCCTGCTGTTTGGAGTTAATCCATTCAGAAATTAAAACAGTGCAAGTCACCTTTGAAAAGGAGAAATTCTACACACACAAAGCATACATGATGAGACATTTACTTTGAGTTGGTGTAAAAGCACTGTAACGTACTTGAGGTGATGCGGTATTCCTACCATATTTAAGCAACATTCATCTCTGCCTTAAATCCTCTGGCAGAAATACGTCCTGTTCAGCACTCTATTCTTAGATTTTTGTCAGTTTTTTTTTTCTCATTTTCTCATTAGACTGACATGTTTTCATAGTCACAGGGACCAGTTTTGCTCCTGCTGATAGAAAGTAAATACTTTTGCAAATGACTCCTGCGAACGTGGAGGGCAGTCCTGGCCTTCCGTTCTTGTGGTGGAGCAGGCAGTGCTGCCACTTGCAGCTCACAGGCAGTGTTCAAGCAAACTCGGGGGCTCAGGGTGCCTCCCCAGGAACATGAATATGCTGATAGCATGCTGACTGGCTTCTGAAAACTATATTATCTTTAGAAAATAGGTGAGGGGCAGAAGCGAATATTGAATGTAAACAAACAAAAAAAGCAAAAGAGAGAGATGCTAAAATGTTCACATCTTTGCTTCCAGCACAGTGACCTTCACTGTGGAGTTTCTGCC